TTCCTATTCTGTTTTGTACTCTTACATGATTCTAAGTGTGGTTTTTTCATCCTCCTTTTCATTCTGTCTCTCTGTCTTTACAGACCCTATGTAACCCAAGAGGCTTTTAGTTTTAAACTCAGGCATCAACATTTGCTGAATAACCAAATCTAGTGATTCTGAAGATTGCAGATCAATTTCATTTTCCCTCAGAATGCAATTGGAGTTACCTTAAAGCAGGCCTCCTCCTCTTCCCCAAATTTAGACGTAATTAGTTTCTAAAATCTTTTGCATTATATTTTATCCGCACATGATAACCACTCAGAGTAGCACACAGGGATTGCCACCATTTAAACCTATGTTGGGCAATTATTTCTGTGTTCTTTTTGGGCTGCACTGGGAAACACAGTGAAAATGTCATGTTCTCCGTTGTTCCAGATGTGTTTGCCCAGTTTTGATATTTTGTTTTCTTTCTCATCATCCTTCTGTTATGAAAGATGGATACCTGCTGGGAAAACTTTTGTTTTTGATGATACTACAGAGGAGCAGTGAGGAGCATGCATTGAAGTATACTTTAATACTTTCTCGGTTGGCTTCAGTATGCCATTTGCCCTCAAAGTACTGATGTTACTGTTGTTGCCAGCCTTTGGAGTTCCTCCTGCCTTTCATTCCTCATTTGTGTTTTTTCTCACTAAATGAAAGATTTAATAAATGCAAAGGTGGGTACTTCCATAGTTTAAAAAGTGGTGAAACTTTCTGAAACTTACATGCAAGTAACTTGGATCCTTACGTACAAGGAACATCGAGTATCACTGGTAATAACTCTCGAGGTGCCACACTATTGTTTTGATTATCTATAATTAATATTGGTGCATTCTGCTGAATTTGCTGTGGAGTCTGCTGCAGAGTATTGCTTCAGATCTAAGCTTTCATTTTGCAGGGGCAAATGTTATTTTAGATCTTAGGATTGCAAAGAGCCTTAAAATATAAACCATGTGTGAACCAATGCAATAATACCTGCCTGGATCTGCAGATCACTTGCAAATTATCTCAGGGATATGAAATGCCCTGTTTAGCTCAGTGGGTGTTAACCTTGAAACCTAAGGATGGCAACTTAGAATGTCAGCATACTAAACTGATGATGATTTTGTAGCTTAAATATCTAGCTGATGTGCTTGTTCCAGTCTGAAATTGTTCCTGGCTGTCAAAAACCTCAAGAGTCTACTTTTTCAGCTTCTCCCTGGCAGCTTCTATGGTGTAGTTATTCATTGTCAGTACACTGAAAATTGAAAATATAGGGCATCATTTGTTTTCATAGTGAGTTAAGAACCTCCTCATTTAAAGCTTTCCTGAAATGGCCCAGAAACAAGAAGGGCTTTCTCCAGACTTTGGGTCCAGCTTCCTGCAAAGTACACTGGGCCTTGGCAATACGTCTTACAATAAAGAAGACTTCCAAATGGAGTCTCTAGTAAATATACACCAATGAGAATTGCAAAGTCACCAATGAGAGTCATATTGTTAAAGAATAGCATTGAATACATGTGGGTAAATAAACAGATATTCATTTTCTTCCGAGAAGATGTCAAAAATATATCATCTTATAGAACAGTGATATAACTTCATAGTGTTCTGTTTTTTTCCCTACTTTGTACAATCAGCTGTGAACATCTAATTATAAGAATGGAATTATTTTTGCTTAATGTAAATTTCAAATATAGCAAAACAAAACACTTAGGGGGAAAATAAAGCAGAAATATTTTAGAGTTGGGAACAGTGACTCTCATAAAGGCAGAAAAGAAAAAAAACGTGAAGGAAAAGTAATAGCTGCCATTTAAAAACCATGTAGTCACTAATAAATATTCTTGAGACATAAGGTAGGTAAGGTAATATCTTTTATTGGAGCAACTTCTCTTGGTGAGAGAGTCCAGGTTTCGAGTCACAGATATTCTTCAGGTCTGGGAAATGTTGCACAGAAAAATTATAAAAGAGAAAAAGACCCTTTTACTTCTTGGTGAACACTTTTCACAAAGCAATTACTCTATATCTGACTTCTCAGTCATCATCCTCAAAGGAAAACTGCACAGTGCCTTCAAAAAACAAGCCTAAGAGCTTAAGTTCATAACTTTGCTAGACCCTAAAAATCATGGACGGAACAGAGACACTGGAGTTATGGCTTTTTACAATGGTCTATAACCCATTAAACCAACCCTCTCTGCTTCTTTTTTTGTGTGCTTCCCCCCCTGTGACTGGAGAGGTATTATCTGGCTATTTCACCTGAAATGGTCCCTCTAAATATGTTTACTTATGCTAAACATTCTTTTCACCTTTGTATTTAGTTGTGACACTCTGAGTACATTTCCCAGACCTGAAGAAGAACTCTGTGTAAGCTTGAAAGCATGTATCTCTCTCCAAGAGAAATTGGGCCAATAAAATGGTCTCCCCAGGTTTCTCTAATATCCTGGGACCAACAAAGCCATGACAACATAGCCTACAATACATATTCTTGTCAACTTGCATCCTTCCTCACCACAGCAGATGAAATAAGGGATAGTTAAGTATTATATAATTAAAAGGAACATTTTAAGACAACATAAATTGGGAGTGGTTAATGTGCCTCTTCAATGTTGCATGGAGGGCTGGTGCAGTACCTTTGGACTGGCAAACTGGGCTGGTGGTCCCAATCTTTAAGGAAGGATACCAGAGGGTGTGTTCCAACTATAGGGGGATCACACTCCTCAGTCTCCTCGGCAAAGCCTATGCCAGGGTGCTTGAGAGGAGGTTACGCCCATTAGTTGAACCTTGGATTCAGGAGGAACAATGTGGATTCTGCCCTGGCCATGGAACAACTGACCAGCTCTTTGCTTTCTCGCAGATACTCAAGGGATCGTGGGAGTTTGCTCATCCAGTCTACCTTTGTTTTATAGACCTGGAGAAGTCATATGACTACATTCCCTTTGAAGTCTTATGGGAAGTGCTGCCGGGAGTATAAGGTGCTGGTGCCGCTTTTGCGTGCTATCTGGTCCCTCTATTCTCGGAGTGAGAGTTGTATTCATATTCTTGGCATTAAGTTGAGTTCATTCAAGGTGAGTGATGGATTTCGCCAAAGGTGTGTCTTGTCCCCATGCCTGTTCATAATTTTCATGGCCAGGATAGCAAGGCGCAGCCGAGCTGTGGAGTGCATCCGGAACGAGGACTTGCAGGTAGCATCTCTGCTGTTTGCAGATGATGATGTCCTTCTTGCTTCTTCAGACTGTGATCTCTGATGCACACTTGAATGTTGAACTGCTGAGTGTGAAGAATGCTGGGATGAGAATCAGCACCTCCAAAACAGAGGTCATGGGCCCTCTCCTGGAATAAAGTGGACTGCTCTCTCTAGGTGCAGGGGGAGCTGCTACATTTAGTGGAAGAGTTCAAATATCTAGGGGTCTTGTTCGTGAGTGATGGCAAGTGGGAGCGTGTGATCAACTGGCGGATTGGTGCAGCGGCGGCAGTGATGCGGCCGCTGTACTGATCCGTGGAGGTGAAGCGGGAGCTGAGTTCTTGGACAAAGCTCTCCATTTACAGGTCGCTTTACATCCCGATCCTCACCTGTGGTCATTAACTTTGGGCAATGACTGAAAGGATGAGATCGCAGGTACAAGCGCAGAAATGAAGTTTCTTTGTAGGGTGACTGGGCTTACTCTCTGAGACAGGGTGAGGAGCTCGACTATTTGGGATGGCCTTGGAGTAGAGCCACTACTCCTCCGGATCAAGAGAAGTTGGTTGAGGTGGTTTGGGCACCTGTTAAGGATGCCCCTGGGAGGCTTCCATTGGAACTTTGCTAGGCATGTCGCACTGGGTGGAGGCCCCAAGGCCGACCCAGGATGTACTGGAGAGATTATATCTCTTGGCTGGCCTGGAATCCCCCAGGAGGAGCTGGAACATATTGCGGCGGAAAAGGAGGTCTGGTTCTCTCTATTCTCCATGTCGCCACCGCGACCCTCACTGGGAAAAACGGCATAAAGGAAGAAGATGATGATAAATTGGGGGAAGTTTCAGATTCATGGAGCAACAAAAATAGTGACTCTCCAGCTGTGGATGGTGTGGAGAGAGAGAAGGAAATGAGAGAAGAGGCCCTCACTAAAGAGGAACTGAATTTGATGGAACATCTCCATAGAGACATTTGAAATCCAGAAAACCGTTTTGATTTTCTTTGGAGGTGGATTATGATGCCATTTATGGTTGAGGAGAGGCGATATAACTCTATTCTCCAAAGCTAAAGAGTAGTCAATGACTTCATTTTAGACCTCATGCAAGAAAGTGGGAATTTATTGATGTTAGGCCATAAAAAGGGAATGTCAGTCATCAAAGTGGGGACACAGGATAGTTTTACTCTCAATTTGATGTCAGTTCTGTTTGTCTGGATGTAATATGATAACTTGAGTGCTGCATCCAATCAGTTCCAAAATTTCAGGGAATGTTCCAGCTGTATTTAAAGCATACAGAAAGAGTGCATCAAAGATTGGGTGAGATGGATTCTAGTATCGTTGTAGCATCATATGGAGGAAATGTGAGCAAGCATTTTATGGTCATTACAACATAGGGGTAGGTCTCTCTTATGTTCAGATATGGGCACCCATGTTGCTGCTAATTACACATACAATTTACTTTATGCAGCTGAGTAGTCCCACTGATTACTCATGTTCATAAAGTCATTCGTGTCTAAATGTTTGCAGGACTGGGGCCTTGGCTGGAAAAGTTACCTCATTAACTTAAGTCACTTGGGTAGAGAATTTCAGAGACACAAACAGGAGACAGGTGCCTAACACCCATTCAAAATGGGAACCTAACTCATTTTTATTACTTTTATTGAAGATCTCCCTCCTTGGTGTTCAATATGCTTGTCAACACAATTGTAAAACTGGATAAAAGACGGACATCTCTAGAAATCAGATGTTGTTTCTGAGGAGGAGTTTTATGTAAATAAAGTACTAAAATAAAATACAAGTATAAGTAACCCTATATTTTCTATTGTGTTTTAGGGTGCCAAATTTGGACATCCAGTTGGATTAGCCCTCGCTCCCCAACGTTCTTCTGTTCGGAGATCATTTGGAAGATCTAAGCGATTTAGCATTACTCGTTCACTGGATGATCTTGAGGTAACTAAGCTTTACATAAAACATTACATTATACTAAACTTTTAAATGATTCCTGGGGAGTGATATTTTAGTAATTTTGCCAATGATACAGGATCTGTGGAAGCAACAAATATAGTGCTGACAGCTGCCTAACTACTATGGAACAGATGCTCAATCAGCAAGGGGAGCTAGAGGGAGAGGAGGTTGAAGGAGGCTTCATTCCTTCCTCTCTTATAGTGCTGTCTCCCCAAAGGCTGCTCCATGGTGGGGTGAGGGGAGAGAAAGATAGGACACCAACTAATCTGCCTGTCTCTTCCAATTTGGAAGTAAGAAAGGTACTTCAGAGGTGGGAGAAAAAAGACCGAGATGCCCTTCCTCCCCCTTGGCCCTTGGCATGGGGGGAGGAAGGAATGGGAAGGAACACAAAGCCCCTGGCATGAAGGGAAGAATGGGGGATTCTGGTTTGGGGGCAAGGAAATTGGGAGAGCACATGGTTCCCCAGCATGGGTGCAGGAAGGAGGAGGAATTGGGGCACATGAATCATAGAATATAAGGGTTGGAAGGGACCCCAGAAGGTCATCTAGTCCAACCCCCTGCTCGAAGCAGGACCAATTCCCAGTTAAATCATCCCAGCCAGGGCTTTGTCAAGCCTGACCTTAAAAACCTCTAAGGAAGGAGATTCTACCACCTCCCTAGGTAACGCATTCCAGTGTTTCACCACCCTCTTAGTGAAAAAGTTTTTCCGAATATCCAATCTAAACCTCCCCCACTGCAGCTTGAGACCATTACTCCTCGTTCTGTCATCTGCTACCATTGAGAACAGTCTAGAGCCATCCTCTTTGGAACCCCCTTTCAGGTAGTTGAAAGCAGCTATCAAATCCCCCCTCATTCTTCTCTTCTGCAGGCTAAACAATCCCAGCTCCCTCAGCCTCTCCTCATAACTCATGTGTTCCAGACCCCTAATCATTTTTGTTGCCCCAGGCATGGGTGGGGAATTGGGGGTGTGCAAATGGAGCCTTGAGCGTGGGGGTGAGAAAAAAGGGGAATCAGGAAATGGAGGGATGCAATGAGTGCTCAGCCTACAGAAGCCATGAACTGTGTGACCCTATAGTCCAATTATTCATTACTTTATTTCTCTCTCCCCAAATATCTCAAATATTTTGAAGAAAGAAAAAAGCAAATATTCCTTATTGAGAACATATCTATATCCCAGTCTGAAGTTTTAAAAGAATGTGATTTTTTTTTAACCATATACTCAGAAGTTTAAAATGGTAGGCTGTCCTTTAAACATCAAAGCAAAATAATCTGAGTGGAGACCCAGTGTGAGAAATATTAGCTCAGGCAGTAATTTGAAAAACGTCATAAGTGAACGGAAAAAAAAAGTGTTTGGAATGGACCTGTCCAGTTCTAAATATAGTAGCATTACTGCAGCACTATAATTCAGTATTATAATCACCAAACAACCATTGTTTCTAATAAAGTAGAACAGAATATAGTCTTCAGTACTGATGAGCAGGATAAGTTGTATTCCATGTAGTTTCTTGTACGTGGGTATTTTGAATGTAGCTCAGTCAGTTTAATCAACTGAGTTTTTGTTAGCCCATTCTGTAGGCGTATGAGTTTGTTCCAGTGTGTTTGAGTAACATTTCCTCTCTCAGGCCATTATGCACTGGTACTATGTACCAATTGTCTGCCTGGTTTCCTTCCCCAAATGTGGTCGTATGATTCCTTTCAGATTCCCTGTTGTTAAAGGAGCGATTTAAATGTAAAATATTGTATGTTTACTGTTATAATTAATTTGAAAATATTCTGCCTCTTCCTTTAAAAAAAAAAGTCATTCAGAGATTTAAACATGAATAAACAATATTCTTATGAGGTCAGAACTGTGTAATATCATAGGTGCCTGCTTACTTGCAGAAATCAGTTTATGCATTGACAGAAGTGGTAAATTTTTATATTCCAACTTTGACTTGTAGAATTTACCCCTTAGATGATATCTTTACTGGCAGATATTTTAAACAAGATTACTATAAACTTGCAGAGAGGGGAAAAAGAGGTAGGGAGGGAGCCAAGTAAATGCACAATAATTCCAAGACTATGTAGTGTTACAGAAAATGATGTATAAAGTACCAAACATATGGCTATAGTCCAAACCTTTTTTGACAATTCTGGGTCCTGGGAGTTGCAGTCATTCACAAAGGGCAGAATATAGTCCATTGTCTCCTTACAAATCAGAGACAAATTCTGTCGAAGCATTATGTATAGTAATTGCTAGCAATATTTTAGCAGTCAGGTCTTCACAAAAAGACACCTAGAAATTTGATTTTTAATGGGATAACAAGAAAGGGGGCTGGTTGTGTCTGCCTGTACAAGAGGGGGTCCTCAAAATAGCCAAGGCCTTGTGGCAGACCTCCTCCTCCATCCCCCCCTCCCCCCGGCGGCTTGCTGGTTGTGTCTGCGGCCAACGAGAAAGACAAGCAGGTCCCCACCTCCTCAACTCCCAAAAACAAAGAGGCCAAAAAAACTCAATTTATTTGGGAGAAAAATTTATTCAGCCGCCAGCCTGCCATTTTGGGTGGCGAGCCATCAAGTGGTACAATTTTAATCTCTGGGATGGCCTTAAAAAATTCCAGGAATCCCTCCCTGAAGGTCTGGCCCAAGAGTTTGGCACCCTGGTGGAGGAGGGTACTGCAGTGGCCAGATGTTCCCTGCAAATGGCATGGGACACGGTGGACTCAACGGCAAGGATGATCACATCGGCGGTGGTCATGCGATGCAGCTCCTGGGTGCAAACAGCGGCCCTCTCCCAGGAGATGCAGACCTCGATCGAGGACCTCCCCTTTGATGGAGTTGGTCTGTTCTCGAATCAAACAAATGCTAGGCTACATGGGATGAAGGATACTAGGACTACCCTTCGCTCATTGGGCATACACACGCTGCATCAGCCAGGAAGCTTTTCCGGCCACTGTTGCCGCCAAACCCTGGCATCCCCGTCAGGGATCTACAATGAGAAGGGACACTAGTTTTAGTTGTCATCACTCTTCTTCCTCCCACTCACCAGCCCAGCCAGGGAGCCAGAAGAAATCATTTTGAGGGTGCGCCTGAGAGCGACGCCCCAGTAAGTCAACCAGATCCTACCTGCCTTTTCCTCAGCTGCCTCTCCCCCTACCGCTTGGCCTGGTCGCAGGTTACGTCTGACCACTGGGTCTTGGACATAGTACCTTGGGGCTATACCCTACAGTTCTTGGCTGCCCATCCTTCCCACCCCTCCATTTTCCCATCTGTCTTCAGGGACCCTTCTCACGAGCAACTCCTTGTTCAGGAGGTTGAGAAGCTCCTGGGCTTGGGGGCTGTTGAGGAAGTTCCTCGGGACATGGAGGGAAGAGGATTCTACTTCCTAATCCCAAAGGCCAAAGGGGGCCTCAGATCCATCCTGGACCTGTGTGGCCTCAACAAATCTCTCAAGAAGTTGAAGTTCCGCATGGTCTCCCTGGCCTCCATCATTCCTTCCCTGAATCCAAGGGACTGGTATGCCGCTTTCGGCTTAAAGGACGCTTACTTTCATGTCTCCATATTTCTGGACCACAGGCGTTTCCTGCGTTTCATAGTGACTGGGTGCCACTTCCAGTTCACAGCGCTACTCTTTGGCCTGTTCTCGGCCCCCAAGGTGTTCACAAAATGCGTGGCACCGGTAGCGGCTTACCTGAGACATCGAGGAGTCCAGATCTTCCCATATCTCGACAACTGGCTCATCAAGGGCAGGTCTCCAGCGCCGGTGCAATGGAACCTCGATCTGGTGTGGTCCATCTGCAACGATCTGGGCCTGTTAATAAACACAGAGAAGTCCATGTTATGCCAGTCCAATGCATAGAGTTTATTGGAGTTGTCATAAATATAAAGGGAAGGGTAAACCCCTTTGAAATCCCTCCTGGCCAGGGGAAAGCTCCTCTCACCTGTAAAGGGTTAAGAAGCTAAAGGTAACCTCGCTGGCACCTGACCAAAATGACCAATGAGGAGACAAGATACTTTCAAAAGCTGGGAGGAGGGAGAGGAACAAAGGGTCTGTGTCTCTGTCTGTATGCTGGTCTTTGCCAGGGACAGAACAGGAATGGAGTCTTAGAACTTTTAGTAAGTAATCTAGCTAGGTATGTGTTAGATTATGATTTCTTTAAATGGCTGAGAAAAGAATTGTGCTGAATAGAATAACTATTTCTGTCTGTGCATCTTTTTTGTAACTTAAGGTTTTGCCTAGAGGGGTTCTCTATGTTTTTGAATCTAATTACCCTGTAAGATATCTACCATCCTGATTTTACAGGGGGGATTTCTTTATTTCTATTTACTTCTATTTTTTATTAAACGTCTTCTTGTAAAAACTGAATGCTTTTTCATTGTTCTCAGATCCAAGGGTTTGGGTCTGTGGTCACCTATGCAAATTGGTGAGGCTTTTTATCCAACATTTCCCAGGAAAGGGGGGGTGCAAGTGTTGGGAGGATTGTTCATTGTTCTTAAGATCCAAGGGTCTGGGTCTGTAGTCACCTAGGCAAATTGGTGAGGCTTTTTACCAACCCTTGTCCAGGAAGTGGGGTGCAAGGTTTTGGGAAGTATTTTGGGGGGAAAGACGCGTCCAAACAGCTCTTCCCCAGTAACCAGTATTAGTCTGGTGGTGGTAGCGGCCATTCCAAGGATAACGGGTGTAATATTTTGTACCTTGGGGAAGTTTTGACCTAAGCTGGTAAAGATAAGCTTAGGAGGTTTTTCATGCAGGTCCCCACATCTGTACCCTAGAGTTCAGAGTGGGGGAGGAACCTTGACAGGAGTGGTTCTCGACTCCACGCAAGCCAGGGTCTTCCTTCCAGAAGCTCGATCCTTCCTTCCATGTCAGGCTTGATCGCCCATGTAGAGAGCCATCTGCTTACCACAGCCCACACGTGCCTGCAACCAATGGGCCGCATGCACGTATGTGGTCAGCCATGTCTAACTTCATCTACAGCCCCTGCAGGTGTGGTTGGTCTTGGTCTATA